ATCTTCTTTTTGAAACTTACTTGAACCGTTAAAATATGAAATTTGTGCAAAATAACGTAAGCTAACAGGTTGGCCTCGGGTGAATCCTCCGGCGCAATTACTGTCAACTATTGGTTGCCTCTGGTTGACGATTAGTCCCAAATCGGCAAGTAGATTACAAATCTCATTGCGAAGTTCGTGCACCTCTAGCCGATGTTCCTTAATCGCATCCCATGTGGCTTCCACCCTACGATCAACGTCAATAGGGCTTGTGTGTTCACCATTGTCTTGTGTCATCGAGCTAGGTGAATCCATGCTCTGATACCACTTGACGTAGCGAAATACACGGGGACTAGATATCGTTCTAGTAGACGAAAGAAGCTCTCGAATTTACGAGAAAAATAGAACCTTGAATCCACAAGGAAGAGAAAATATCTTAATATTATTGATTGAATGAATAAAAGTTGTCTTTGCCATGAGGCTTAAATAGCTATTTATAATAAACTAAACCTAATACTTGTAGGAAAAGTAATTTTAAAATAAACTAGGAAATTTAAATCAACACAAATTAAGAAACTTAAGAGAATAGGAAATTAAAATTCTAAACTATTTAAAATCCTAGTCAAAATCTAATTCCAAAATAATAAAATTAAGAAACCTAATAATTCTAAAATATTTATACTAAATTAGAAAAATCCTAATAAAATAATATATCAAAAATATTAAAACTAAAAAGATAAAAATTCTTAAAATCTTGTCTTACATCAAAAATCCTTGTTTCCGTGAGAGCGGCGATTCAGATGATGCTGATCGTAAAAGACGGCATTAGCTATGATATCGTAAATGATTGTGCATTTTGGTAACTATGATCTAATGCATCCTATTCAAGTTGTTGGAAAACCAGATCTTGTAATTAGAAGCAATCAGATTTTTCTATTTCAAGCCTAACTGCTGAATTTCAGGTTGTTGTGCTACATCTAACACAATTTTACTTACTTGCAATTGTTAATTTGGTGTCTAAAGTTAGAAGAATAGTGTTGTGTTTGAAATAAATAAATAAATAAACAAATTAAGAAAAAGAAAAAAATAAATGGGCCGATTAATCGAAAGAGTATTAGATTGTTTTTGTAATTTTCAAGTGGCATAAACCTTCTGAAGTTTGAACATAGTTGGATTGAATATCTCCCTTCCAATTTTGTGCTAGATCTAAGCATATGAAGGTCGAGAGTGACATACATATATAATCTATATATAGGCCTCATTTGAAAAGTTAGTTATTTTAATAAGCTATTTTAGTAGGCTAAAATATTTGTGTTTGAGAAGAAGATTGATTTTTTTTTTGTAATTAGATGTGATATTTGTAAGAGAAAAAGTGAAATGATTATGGATTTGATGTGAAATGATTATGGATTTATTGACCATTTTAGCCTATTGTGTCCTTTTGTAGATATTAGCCACAAAAAAAAAAAAAAAAAAAAGACTTTCCAAACACCCCCATAGATTGATGTGCCATTTTGCAATCTCTTCATTTACAATGAAAACACTTGTCATTTGTTTTCATAATTTTACAAATGTTATTGTCATATCATTTTACATCATTCTTGGTAAGAATTATGTGTAAAATTTCATAAGCATTTCATTTTGCCATTATGTATACTATTTTGCTTTGTTAGGAAATATGTTTTTTGTTAAATTAAACAAATTAAAACTATATATATATATTATCATGTTTCATGTTAGTATTTTTTGATAGTTTCACTATTCGTTTTTGTTGGGCATCTATATTCATTTTCGTTTTTTAATCAATTTTTCTATCAACTTATGTCAACTTATTTTCAATTGGTATTACTCTTACTATTTCACGAATGTATTGATTTTTAATTTTATTTTTCTTAATCTTATTACACATCTATACAACTCTTTTTATCTAAACAATACTCGTTTTATAGGTGTGTTTTTTTTTAATCAACCAAAAAATTTATTGATGAAACCTTATAAGAAAAGAAATAAGTCATCAATAAAGGGGAAAGAAAAGAAAGGGGGAAAAGGGAGAAATTATGCAAAGCACCAAACCAGTACCTATTGGTGAGGGACCAACAGATACACAGAAGCACAACAGTAAAACTAATAGCTACACAGCACAAGGCACACCAGCAAAACTAGATAGGTAGCTAGATAGGTACACAACCAGGACTAAAATAGGTGTTGCCCAACCAGCAAGACCAGCAAACCCTCACTAAGACAGTGTTACCCAAACTAGCAACCTAGCAGCCAACAGACTCTAACACAACAAAACTACAACCAACAGAACACCAAAACAACAACCAACAAGACAAAACAGTTCACATCAAATGATGTCAGGCCAAGGTACCAACCCAGCTAGCAAAACTACAGAACCAAATTGCAACCAACAGGACCCAACTGACAATACTAGAGACACCAAAGCTGAACAAGCAGCACCAAAGCAGAGCAAGCAGAATGATCAGAGCAATCAGCACACACAAACAACAGCACAGAAGCAGACCAAGCAGAAAGATTAGAACAATCAGCACACAGATACAAAGGACAACACACTTAATAGCAGAATAATATCTGACTTAGGTTATGCACAATATCATGCCTTGAGTAAAAGAAACTTGGAAGGTTGGATTTGGCCCACAGAGCCACTCTTCACTTGACAATACCATTCAATTCCTAAAGCTTAGGTGTACACCCATTGAGAATACAATTATTCCTCATTTTCTATATAGACCAGAGCATAGCCATTGGTACTAAATTCCATAGTTTCATGATAATCTTTGTTGCATTTAAAACCCATCCACCAATGTAACAAAGCCACAACTGTAGCAGGTGTTACCCATTTCATATCTCACCATAGTAGCAAATCATTCTATGACTCCCAAATGCCCCTGCACAATAAGAAAATATGGTTCAAAGATTCAGGTTCAACTTTGCAGAAGGGGCAAACATTGCTTACATTGCTGCTAAGTACTCCAATTCATTGTAGAAAATCAGTGGTTTTGACTCTACCCTTCCAAATCAACCAACCCAAAAATTGAACTCTAGGAGGAGCCACATTACCCCATAATAGTATAGGTATCATCAACTTCGACCCATGATGAGCAGCCAACCAATCTTTGACTGCAACAACTGTGAACTGCCCAGATGGAGACCTCTGCCACCTAAGAGAATCTGGAAGGGTTGGTCTCAGGAATGGTGCCTCTGCTAGCAGAAGATATAACCTATTAATCTCAGCCTCCTCCCAAAACGTTAAAGGCCTCCTGAAGGATAGATTCCGGCCCCCTATACCTTCCTTTCTTCGCACAAAAAATTCCAGGGACTCCTCATTCTCAGTAGACAAACTGAATAACCTTGGGAATTCATGTTTAAGCTTAGTATTCCTCAACCATTTATCTAACCAAAATTGCACTCTCTTACCATCACCCAATATGATTTCAATATTGGATAGGAAAAAGGCATGTAAATCTGAATTAACCTCTACACCAGAGAGAATTCCATTCCACACAATAGACACCCTCCCAGAAGGCTCAAGATTAGGTAACCATCCCCCTCCTATAGCTCCATACCTACTATTAATAACCTGCTTCTATAATATCTTTTCCTCCATTCCATATCTCCACCACCATTTCAAGAGGAGACTGCTATTCATTTCCCTTAGATTTACAATGTCTAATCCTCCTTGCTTCTTACTAATTGTGACCGCCTTCCATTTAACAAGGTGCATTTTTTTTTTTTTTTGTTCAGAACTCCCCCACAAAAAGGCTGCTTGCAGTCTATTAATAATTTTCGCCACACCCTCAGGTAGTTTGAACACAGATAAATAATAACATGATAAATTGGATAGGACAGATTTAATCAAGGTTACCCCACCTGCAAAAGAGAGCAACTTTCTTTTCCAAATGGCCAATTTTGACTTAAATTTGTCCACCAGTTTTTCAACTTTATTTCCCAGTTTTTCAATTTTTAGTGCATCGCAAACTTTATAATTGTTTTATTATGAACTCAAAATTAACACGTAGAAATAAATATAGAATATATAAAAAAGATAAAATTTTATAAAAGTTATTGATGGATCTACTATTTGATTATGTAGATGTTAGTATTTTTTGATATTTTCACTATTCATTTTTGTTGCATCTATATTCATTTTCGTTTTTTGATCTTTTTTTCTGTCAATTTATGTCAACTTATTTTCAATTGGTATGACTCTTACTATTTCACGAATGTATTGATTTTTAATTTTATTTTTCTCAATCTTATTACACATCTATCCAACTCTTTTTATTTAAACAATACTAATTTTATAGGCGTGTTATTTCCTAATTTTTCAATTTTTAGTGCATCACTAACTTTATAATTGTTTTGTTATGGACTAAAAATTAACCCGTAGAAATAAACATAGAATATATATAAAAGATAAAATTTTATAAAATTTATTGATGGATCTACTATTGATTATTTACATATATATATATATATATATATATATATATATTGGCCTTGTTTGGCAAGTAGGGTTTTGTTTTGTTTTTTGTTTTGGTTAAAATTTATAAAAAGTTGAAATATACTAAAATAGCTAATAAGATAAAATGTCAGATCAAATCCATAATCATTTCATTTTTTTCCTTACAAACATTACATTCAACTATAAAAAAATCCAACCATCTTTTCAAATACAAAAATTTTAACCTATTAGAATAGCAAAAAATTAAAATAGCTAACTTCCTAAATGAGACCATTGTGTATGTATGTACTTACGATTTTTATTTTATTTTTTATTTTTTTTTTTTGGTGTGTGTGGTGGTTTGTGGTTGGATTGGATGTGATTATTGGGTGTTTTGGGAACTTGGCTAAAAGTCATTTTAGCTTATTTTGAGTTATATCACGTTTTTATTTTTTTACACATTTAAAAAAAAAGAGTCAAAAAAATCAAAAAATTAATTTTTAACTAATTTTTCAAAACAAGCGTATGTGTTATTAAACCTTCTTTTTGACAAGAGTAAGAGAACTTCATTTCATTCCATGAGCAATCATACAAAGGAGAAAACTGAAAACTTTTATAATCTGACACACATATAAAGATATAATCATTATGCACCAAACTCCTTATTTTCGTATTCTACTTTTACACACTAGATATTATTTTCAATATATATATAAATGCTTATCTTTATTGTTAATTAGCTAAGCTTAAGAACACCCTCCAGTGCCAAGCCCTAGCTTCCCTCCTGCAACATCATACGCCACCTCTAATGTCTTCTGCTGATTATTCCCGAAAACACCAACATCCGAAGCATTACTATTCCCTGCAAATGCCAAGCACACCTGCGATATACTATGACCGAAAAGTATCCCCGTCGGATAGATCGGAACCTCCACATTGCCTTGGAAATAAAAGCTTATCTTCGGTATTAACACCGTCTTGTTGTTGCTCAGATCATAGCATGTGTCAAGCAGCGGCAAACCTTTAGTCATCGGATAATTCGTCATCTTTCTTCGAAAAGCTGTCCTCAAAGCACTGTAAATCGCCGGCGGTAGGCGGGTGATGACGGTGCCGGAGTCTATGATCGATGTTGTGTTCTTGAACACTGATTTTGCGATGGATAGTTTCCGTCCACCGACTTTGATCCCCGTTATATGGACGAAGTAGAAGGATGGATTCTTTGAGTTTCTGGAAAATGGGGTGAAATTTAACTTTAAGGCACTAGAGGGTCCTCCTTTTCCGAATGTTAGGTGTCCGGTTGAGCTCGACGCTGATGGAAGGCAATAAGAGAAGTATTTTTGGTACATTGAAGAAGTTTGCGAGACAACGGACAATTGATTTCGCCCGAGTCCTAATAATCCCGCGGCGCCACCGAATAGGCCGTGGTTGCTCTGGCCGCAGCCGAATTGGAAATTAGGCAACACATCCGTGGGAGTCAGTGTCAAAGTGTCTTTGCTGAAGAACCCGATGGAGTAGGACTGGTCGGCGTACCCTATGCCATAGATGCAGATGGAGGAGTTGGAGCAACGCTTCATTACACCGCCGGCATCGGAGGTGAGTTGAGTACACTCGGCCGAGTTACAACTGATGTTTTTGTATGTTGTTGACTCATTTGGGTTGAAAATTGGTTCTTCTTGTTGATAGCAGGAGCCGAGACATGGCTGGCACTGAGTCCAAGTGAGGTCGCTGCCGGTGTCGAAGACGAGGGTGAGGTCCTTTTTGGGGGTTCCGAGTCCGACGGTGACGACGAAGTTACTGGTGCCGATTGAGGCGCCGGAGTTTACTGGGAGAGTGGCCTTGGAGGATTTTAGTATATTGTTTTGGGCTGAGTCGGAGCTGAGTCGAAAGTGAATTAAGTTGACTCGGGATTGGTCTTCAGAGAGGATCTGAGTCACATTTGGAACATTGGCTTTGTCTAGACTCAGGTGCGAGCATGGGCCGTGCTTGTGAACTACTTTCAGTGTTGCCTTTTTGCTGTGACCTGTTAAAATGTATAAGCATAGGATTGTTTAGATGTAGGTATCATCAACAATTTGTAAAATTTTATCTAATATATGTATATATTGTTTTTCATTTTGTAATGTGCTTTTGGGTTCGTAATAGAACTAATAAAATTCTATATAAATATGACGGCAAAATGACATATTTTGTAATTATGAATTATAGGAATAAATATAAATAAAATATTTCATTTTATATGAAGTTTTTATTTTTTTATTTTTTGTATAATATTATACTTGTTTGATAGAAGAAGAGGTTGACCACTGATATAGGAATTAGCGGTGGGTTGGGCTTGTATTACTGGGCTTTTATTATTTATTTATTTGTTTGTTTTTGAACGCGGGCTCGTACTACTTAACAACCACATTTTTTCATAAAATGAAAAATTCACATTTCATTTTTAAACTCTCACGCTCTTATTGTAAGAGCATCTCCAACCCACTAGGTATATCATGCTTGTTAGTCAAAATGCCTAGTATAACTCATTTTTTCAACTCCAATGCACTAGGCATATGATTAGGCATTTTAGCTCAACTCACATTCACTAGCTACATGTAGCTAGCCTTCAAGGCTAGGCAAAATGTATTTAATCATTAGGATCATTTCCCTCCATCTTTGTTGCTGATGTGGCATTTTATAAAATTAATAGTATTTAGATAAATAGCTAAAATAAAGAGCATGGTTGGAGTAAAAACATGAAATAGTTGATAGGCAAAATAAAATATATACTTTATAGTAATGTTTAAATAGGTAAAATGCCTATTACCGTTGGAGATGCTCTAAGAGGCTAAACAAAAGGGGGGGAAAAATACGAAAGCAAGAAAAGAAGTATAGAGACTTAAAGTGGTGTGTAATATTACTCTATTTTTTACTCTTCATGCTCTTATGGTAAGAGGCTAAAAGACAAAAAAAAAAAAAAAAAAAAAAAGAAGTGAGAGAGGCTTCAATATAATTGCTTACAAAAAAAAAAAAAAAGAAAAAGAAGAAGAAGTGAGAGAGGCTTCAATATAATTGCTTACAAAAATTGTCTACTTAGCAAAAATACCAAACAAACAATTGTAAGGACTCTTTTTTAGAAAAAGACCATTAAATTTAGGGACAAAAACAAAATCTTAAAGTGGAAAAATTAAAAATGTTTAAATATTATATGTGAAAGTAAATTTTACAAAAGTTTAGTGGGGCAATTGCCCCCACTTACCTCGCCATGAGTGAGTTTTTTTTTTTTTCCCTTCTATTTCTCTATGTCAAATACAGTTTTAATTTACGACGATTGTTTTTATGCTTTAAGATTTTCATTACACCATGTGATTAAAACTGCATGAATAAGAAAATTTAAAGAATCTTGAATCTTTATACACACAACATATTTGTGTCTACTTGTAATATTTATTTATATGGAGAGAGAGAGAGAGAGAGAGAGAGAGAGAGGGGGGAGTTGTGTACTAACCATTAGTAGATGAGTTGCAAACAGATGCTGGTAGAAGAGAGCGAATTTGAATAGTATGATAGTCGTTTAGTCGAGTCTTTTCGTCATGCAAACCATAGCCCTTCTCTAAGGAGAAGAGAAGGAATAGGGAAACAAGCTGATAGGAAGCAAATAAGAAAAAAGTAATGGAAATGGAGGGAATGGAAGTAGCCATTCTTTTCTAAACTTCTCTCAATGTGTTTCTACAAGCACTTACTGTTATCTCATCTCTAGGTAAGTAAGCTTTATAAGCATTTGCATTTGCAAGGGATTTTCAAATTTCCACAGCCACGTCACCCACTAAGACAAAGTTTTTAATATAATTATTCAAAATATTATTAATTACATTCAAAATATTATGTGACTTTATTTACATGACGCTTTTCATAAATAAACTTGTAAAACGTGATTTGATGAAAAGCGTTATTGATGTCTGATTAATTTAATTTTTTATAAATATATTTTATTAGATGTACCCTTGAAAGTAAACTGTTTAAATCATTGTAGTGAGACACAGAGTGAGCCTCATCAATGTACAACAAGAAGTCATCCCAATTCCTGTAATAAGTGAAATATTTTAGTGAAACATTTAGATGATATATATATATATATATATAGTATTTCTCTTTTTAAAAATGGCTAAATTATGCTGATCTTGTTTGAGGTTTAGAAAAAAAATATAGTATGCTCTACAAGGTTTACATAATTCTATTGAAATTTTTTAAAGTTTTTATTCGGATAACACTTAGTCCCATTTCATCAGTAATTCGTATAGGTGAAAGAATGATATTATCATTTATTTTACATTAAAATTTATATTTTATTTTGTTTATTTTTATTCACACTATCTTTTTTAGTTTTAGGCCCCATTTGTTTTCAAATGTAGGATGGAGGGGATTAATAGTGAGGGAATCAATAGTGAGGGATTGAGTAAAATTGTGTTTGTTTTGATGATAATTGTCAGTGTATGAATTGTTAAATTATTTTAATATAAAATAATAAAACAAATAAAAAAATATAAGAAATTAAACATTAATGTTAAAAAAAATGCCCAACATATAAAAAATAAAAAAATAAAAAATTTCTAATCCGGCGGACTATTTTTCTAATACCACCTTCACCTCCTCTCCTAATCCCCCTTCCAATCTCCATCTAAATCTCCTCCTTTATCCTAATCGTTTTCCCAACTCTACAAACAAATACAACATTAAATGGGTCCCATCTCCATTCTAATCTCATCCCATCCTCTACACACAAAATAAACGGGGCCTTAGTCTTTTTAATTTTATTAAAAAATATGTCAATATAATATACTACAAGACCGAAGGCATGGAATCTTCTTCCCTTTCGTGAGGTTGGGGTAATCGTTAGGGAAAAAATTTAGTAGGGAATTAATTATTTTGAGTATTGTTTACGTGAAAATTTTGGTCTTCCTTACTTTATGGTAATCAATTTGACACCATTAGTGATGCTCTTGTTTGTGTGGTTGGTTTACCATGACCAAGACCCAAAAAAAGAAACGCGTGAACAAAGTCTACAAATTGTAAGGAGTGCAACTCTGAGTGAGTTGAAAAGTTGTCCAACTGTAATTTGAGTTGTGCTTAGAGTTGTTCAATCCCAACTTGTAATCTGAGATTATTTGTCTAAATCTTATCCGAGTTAAGTTTGAGTTGTCCGAATTACACATGAATTTAAGTTTTTCTTGTTTATTTAATTTGTTAAATTAGACTTTATTAATATTTTTTTAATAAAATTATTAATAATAACATCAAAACAAATAATTTATATAATATGAAAGAAATGAACAGAAGAAAGATAAGAATCAAATTGAAGAGCCGATGTGTCTTTGCAGTAGTCTTTGTAATTTTTGAGTGAAAAAATATATAAATCTTGTATAATATTACTTGTGTTTATAATATAAGGTTAATTACATAGTGAATATCACTTCACTTTCATCAAATATGAAAAGTGGGTTGACTTTTTGACTTTTTTGTGGGAGAAAGAATGTAATGATTATGAGTTGAATATGATGTTTTGCCATATTGGACTAAAAAACCTATTTTGTTTTTTGTGACTATTTTAGCTCCAAACCTACTTCCTAAGCAATGCCTAAGGTATATGAGTTATTTATAGTCTATAATGAACAAGCCAAGAGACCAACACATCTTCTACATCCAATGTACCATACATGAATCTTCCTAGACACATTCATCCTAGGAATACATGAATCTCAAAAATACATGAACATTGACAATACATGAATAAAATATAAATAGATACTTGTAGAAAATGTGTAAATTAATTGAACTAAAATCATGTTCATTATTGCAACACCCCTTTAAACTTGACTTTTAGTAACTCCGAGCAAGGTCCGAAACTTGGTGAAGTCTTCATACTTGAGCGACTTTGTGAATATGTTAGCAATTTGATCATGAGAATTCACAAATTTGAGTTGTACCTCCTTCTCCGCAATTCATTCTCTAACAAAATGATATCTCGTATCAATGTGTTTACTTCGATCATGAAACACCGCCCGCAAGACTCAGACGCTTGGTTCAATGCACTCAATGATGAAAGTTGAATTATGAATTCGCAGCGATTCAGAATCAATCAGGCTTCTAAATAACCTCACATCCTCAACATTCACCTTGTTTGAACCCATGAGTTTCATTTTTGGACCATTTCTCACCTTGAGCTGAGTTTGAACCAAAAAAATAGGGGAGGCCATCAAGGCCCAGTTGTGTATCAGTGATGGCCGGTCGTGGCTATAAATGGCCGGCCGGCTTTCAATGGCGATAAACACTGTTCTGGGCGGGAGGCCGCCAGCTGTCCATTTTTGAAGATATTTATCACCTTTTGAGCTTGAATTCTATAAAATTGAAGCTTTGGGATTGTTTTGAGGGTTGAACAAAATTCTAGAAGTGATATATACACCTTGAGAGCTCTTGACTCCTCATTTTTCCATTGCAAGTTATCTTTGAGCTAACCTAGCTTGCTTACACCACCTCTACACACCATATACAACCTTGTCTTACCACCCTAAAGCCTTGGTTGATCTTGGAGAAGTGTAATTCAAGCTTGACAATACATTGAAACCAAGTTTGAAACATAAACAACAAGCTTACTTCTTGAAAGGTATAAGCTTGACTTTTTTTCTCTTGCCTTCATTTCTATCATTTACTTCATAATTGTTGCTGTTTTGAGATTGTTTGAAGTGTTTGGAGTTGGGTTTGAAGAGTTACCAAAAGGGTAGAGAGAGTTTGTTCTTTCTATACCTTTATTTATAACTCAAACCATCTCATTTTCACTATTTTCTTCGGTATTTACATTGATTTTCAGAGGTTTGAAAAGGATAAAAATTATGTTTTGAAGCTTCAAAAATGGAGGGGTTAGCCACCCCTCTTTATCCTTGTTTACTAGCCTTAATTCACATCTTTATTGTCTAGCTTTTCAGCCCCTTTTCTTGCATGTTTTACCTCTAATTTTCATGTATTTAGGGTTGTTTTGAGGTTATCTACGTCTTTTCAATTGGTTCATGCCTTGTTTAATACACTTGTGGCCTCATTAAGTTAGCATACTTCTTGTTTGATATACTTTCTTTGTTTTCATTTTCAAAGTTTGAAGCCTAAGTTTACTAATCAATCAATCGTCCTATATCTTTCATTCTTGAGAATGGTTTCAACCAATTGAGGTTATTTAATGCATGTAAAGGAGACCTACACTTATGGCTTAATCTCTTCGGAGATTCATCGTCAACGGTGTAGTCTCCTTCTCATGTTTTAGAAGGACCTCTTGTTTGACATCACTTCTTGTTTAGAGGACTTTAACATCACATTTGGACAAATGGACTAATGAATTGCAATGACTAAAACAATTGGTTTAAAACTTGGATTAACACACTTAAACAAAATGGTGTAATAGCTTGAACTTGCCCAGACGTTATGTCAAGTTTCTTGTGTCACGGGCCATCAAGCATCAATTCATGGTGTTTTTGATGTCCTTGAAGCATTTCAACTTCCTTTTTGGAGTTTATTCCATGACAAAAAGGAGGGGTGGTCCATTTGCATTACATTCATTGATTTTTTGGTCCAAAATGATATTCGAGATCATCAAGAGATCATATCGCTCATTGATGGTTTTGGAGTCAATCCCAACCTTCTCTTGAGGCTCTCCCATGACAGAGAAGGAAAGAAGGACAAACAGAGCTTGAAAATGCTCTATCTACACTGATTTAACCTCAGAGCACAGAAACAGAGTTTTGCATCAAATCAATGCACAGCCAGGCCTACCGACTCGGCCGGCCATCAATAATGCACGGCTGGCCCTTGGTGTGTGGCTGGCAGTGCAATCTTGCAGAAACATAAGCAGTGGCTGAAGGTGAAACAGAGGCGATCTGGGCAGACAGAGTAGCTTTTAGGCGATGCACATGCAACCTCCATCTATCTTTCTTGGTGCTCATATCGAATACGTTTGATCATTTAATTGTTTCATTAGCATAATGAATTGTGTTGTAATATTTAATAAGCTTAATTAGTTGTAGCTAATTAGTTGATGTTGTAATATTTAATTAGCTTAGCCTAGTTAATTTCTTTTAATTAATTAGCTTAGATAGATAGTTAATTATTCATTTCAAGTGTTGTAATAATTAGTTAATTAGTTTAGCTATTTATTCAAGTTTTGTAATAATTAGTTAGCTTAACTTAGCTTAATTAGTTAGTTAGCTTTATTCATTCGGACTCTCCTTCATGAGAGCGTGTTGTAATAATGTGTATGTTTTCCAACCCCACATCTTTCTCCCTTTTATTTACTCGTTTTTGATGGTTAGATTAGGGATATGTTTTAATTAGCATACCTTATGCTTGCATCCATTCATTTGTATTGCACCGGGGCTCGGCGCATCATTCAAACCGCATTGTCATTTAAATACTTTTTTGAATACGTGTTTAACCGCATGTTATCAAATCAATTCATATGCCATATTAGTAGCTGAGCCTATTAATTGCATTCTTCACATGCGTTGCATTAGACATTTGGCATAGTTAGGAATCATGCATATTTTTCTAACTCTTTTGTTTTATCTTGGCTTGGAGTACTAGGTGAGTGTTTAGTGCTTTAGCATACTTGCATGAGTGTAAGTGATTGCCATAATTAGCATGCTTGCCATGCGGCTAAATGCTTAAGTGATGAACTGCTCGAATGCCTGTGGATAAAGGCTTGTTATTTG